TCTGACCTGTTCCACATTTTTGGTTGGAGTTTTATATGATAGACCAACACTAAAAAGGTACAAAGGTAAAAGGTATTTTTAATCCAATACCCCTAAATGAAACTTATTTTCCGGCCTTCTCGATTTCCAACGACTTGTAGGAAGCAGCAACACCAGCAAGTACTTCGGCAGCATCGACTCTCTGGAGCAAGACCTGAAGGGAAAAGGCAAGATGAGGAACGAAGGCGGCTCAGAGAGCAGCAAGTCCGCTCAGGGGGAAGGGGAACATTTAATCAAATGCGTTCTGCAGGAGCCTCTGTGGTTGCTCATGGCCAACGCTGACGACAAGGTCATGATGACGTATCAAATGCCATCCAGGTGTGTTACTGTTAGAGATCAAAATGCTATGATCTTTGAAGTCTGCGGTTGGGTTTATTTCAACAACTGCTTGCAAAACAGGGACATTCAGAGGGTGCTGAGGGAAGACAAGGAGAGGCTGCGGCAGATGCAGAAGACTCAGCCTCACTTCACCTCAGAGCAGCGGCGGGAGCTGGTGGAGGAGCATCCCTGGATGAGGAGAGGAGGCCTGCCCCCCGCTATCAATGTGAAGGTCAGGATCACACACGGCAGTCTGCCTTACCGACAGGACAGAGGGCTGAAATGATTGATAACATTAGTCCATTATTGAAATAATTGTCTACTAATTTAGTACTTGATTAACCACTGAGAGCATACACTCCCAATAAAAGGGTCATTTGCTGAATAAGAGTTGCTAACCTCCTTAAATGTTGCAGATTTCCTAGCTTATTGATCTTTAGTTTTTTTTTCAATACTGCAAAATAGGCCTGATTGTATTGAAAAAAACCACGATTAATTATTTATTGACGTAGCAATCGATTAATTGTTTACAAAAATGCCACCTGTTGGAAAAAACCCCCATCACATTCAAAGCAATAAAAAAAGCCCAAACTGTACAAAAATACATTGATTTAGCATTTTAGATAAAAACACATTTGTCTGTAGATATGTTTTAGCCAAAACTTCTCAAGTGGAGTCGTTTTATCTTCACCCAGCTCAGATTTACTAAAGGAATGCTTTTTTTTTTCCTTATTAAAAACAGGAATTGAATATTTGAATATATTTCTAATATTGTATGAAAAAAGATTCAAGTGGCTAAATAAAAAATCTGTAGAATGCACAATTTCTTTGTCTGATAATCATCAAAATGATTAATTGCTAAAATGATTGTTAGTTGCAGCCCTGTCTGACAGAAACATTAACATTGTGTGTGTGTCTTTAGGAATGTGTGTACTGTGAGGACGCTGCAGCTGGACCCATAGAGGAGGATCTGCCCGACATGGACATGGGTGATCTGGGCGAGGATTTGGGCAGAGACACCCAGAGAGGCCAGAGCCAATCAGAGGAGCCCAAACCTCAGCCGGACCCTGGCTTCTGAGGGGCCAATGAGAGGCGAGCCGTGATGGTTCGTGGACCTTTAAAGGCATATACACACTCTGGACGTGCCTAAAACACACACACACACAACAAAAAGACGAGCTCAGTGTGGCCTCTGAAATTCTCAAAGAGGTGTGCCAGTTGTGTGTGTGTGTATGTGTGTGGATGTTGGACCATGCACAACAGCAGTTCCTAATTCCCCCATGAGGGGCGGTAGTAGAGCTTTGTAAGTTTTGTAGCTGGGACCTACCTATAGTATTTTTTTCTGTTTCAGACATACACAAACTCACAGTCTAAAAAAATCTCCTGTCTCGTTTTTTTATTGAACCATTTTCATGTCTTTTGTCAAACACAGGGCATTTATTCTGATACAGGTGAAACTGATGCTTAGTAATATATAATTTTTTTAAAGATGTTATTTTTACAAAACAAAAAAAAAAAAGACAAAAAAAATAAAAATCTTGTGAAGCTCCACAGCATTCCTGTTACGGTGCTGTGCTGCTCCTCGTCCTGTTTGTGTTTTCCTTCAGACCCGCTCCCATCAGGATTTACCAGAAACAGTCGACCTCCGTTGGTTTTTGTGAGCTGCGAGTCTCACAGTTGTGTATCGTGAATAAATTAAGATTTTTCTACAACCTTTGGACCTGTGTGAAGTATGAATGCTTACAGCGGTATTAGCACTTTACTCAAGAGGACGACTGGTGTGCTGAGTGAAACTCCCCTCAGTGGCGACAATCTGATATTTATTATAATAATATTACTATTTTTGGAAGGTGGTAGATCCAAAATAAATATTTTAGCTACACCAAATTAATACTGCTATGAGATAATATATTAACACTCTAAGTATGATTGCAAGCACTACGGATCGTTTAACTTTGACACTGAAGCACATTCCGTCAGTGAGAGTTGTCACAGCTTGAAAAGCTGCCGAAAAATATGTTTGCAAATGGAAACAATCAGCGTCTGAAAAAAGATGCTTTTAAATAAAGGTTTTCAAGAAAGAGGCTCAGTTTACAGGTGAATTTTGTAAAGTTATATTTGTGCAAACCCTCAGCCTACAGCAAAAAGTCTTGAGTAATTTTTTCATCATGTTTTAAGTGATGCATCACTACAAACACTGTAAACAAAGAGGTTTGGCGTTATGCACAGAGATTTCAGGTCAAAACCCCTGACTGTCTTTCTCCAAACTATATTTTTAATTAATGCTACTATGGTTAGCTGTGTGTGTGTTGCAAGTTAGTTCTAGCTGTGTTCTTTGAAAGCTGCGGTTCAGATCAGTGTTTGACTCTGAGCTGGTGGGAAAACATGAACAAGTGTAGCAAATCAGAGGAGCGCGTTTCCCTAATGGGAACTGCTCCTCTCGCCATCGTTCAACAGGAAGTCACAGGAAACTGTGAGCCTCGCAGCTGGAGCAGTATAGGACACAGGAACAACTTTGGTGCTACAACGCAGAATAGCTGTGGCCCAGTGAATGTTACACAGACTGGACCAATAGCTTTGTTCATGTTTCTTCAGTTTCTTATTCTGTTTTTTTTTTTTTTTCCTACTTTTCTATTTTCCTTGTGCGTGTTTGAGGTTTTCTTTGTGTGTGTGTGTGTGTGTGTGTGTGTGTGTGTGTGTGTGTGTGTGTGTGTGTGTGTGTGTGTGTGTGTGTGTGTGTGTGTGTGCGTGTGTGTGTGTGTGTGTGTGTGTGTGTGTGTCGATGAAGACACACAAAAGCTTTTGGGGACGTACCCTACCTCTAAGTAAATCCTAGGTTACTATGAGCAGATCATAGGATGTGTGTGAATGTAGGGAACAGAGCGATGAATGTTTCATAAGAGTCTCTGAACGTGTTTGGACTCCATGCTTCTGTCCCACTGAGACGACGCACAGAAAACGCTAGCAACCATGGCAACCGTACTGTCTCTGTCTCTTTATTGTTAATTTATTTCTGTTCAGTTTATTTCTGAAGGGGCCTCCAACATGTACCTGTTTGTGAAGGATGCGTGAACATCAGAAGAAACTTGAGAAATGACGCTGTTCAGTATCTGGTTGATTGTCGGGGCCCCGCTCCCTTTGCTCTGTAAATGCACACATGTGGTACCTGAACACAATGATGTTTATAGTTATATAAACTCTCATTTCCATTGTATGAGTTTGACGTGTATTAAATTAGCACACAGTTCTGTGCATTTTTGTAGCTCAAATGTTCAAAAGTTCAATCTTGTAATAAAACGTTAATAATGGAAACGTTGTGACTTTTATTTTGAGCTTCATGTTGTCATTGCTCAGCTCATCTCTAAATATAAATAGGAGTGTCCCAAATCAGTGGCAATTTAGCTACCTACAAACAAAAACTGTTTGTAGGTAGTTAAACTGCAGGGTTTCAGACATGTGACCCGGATGACGCCCGAAATTCAGATGGAAGTCCAGAAGTGGATTTCTCCAGTTCAAAACAAAGCAAAATTGATCATAACGAGAACGCTGATGCCTTAAATAGGCTGAAACAGACGAGGCATCTCGAAAATATTGGTGTATATTCAGGATATGATCCATATTGTCTTGGTAAAAAAAAGACTTCTCTTATAATATTGGGGATTTACCGGGTGTCGACACCCGGTAAAGTTTACAAAGTGATCTACATCACTAAATATCTGGAGCTCCAGACCTCATATTATGCAACGAGCCAGATGACTGTTTTCAAAAGCCTGGAGAATTCAGTTATTTAGTTTTAGGTTGGGTCAAATTTAGAATCATAAGAAGCATGAAATGGCTGTCGACTTGTTTCTGCTGGGTGAGCAGTAATCGGGTTGGAGAAAAACTCAGATCATTAACCGTTTCAGATCAGGGTACAACTCGAGCCTTTTCTGTGACAAAATAGAGCATTTATTCACCCATAGCAATTGAGTACAATTTTAAACTTTAAAAGAGGACATTCCTCCAGAAAGCAACTGTTTCTCAGTAGCTGAGAGTCCAGGTGATGTTTTTTTTTTTTTTTGCCAAGTCACAGAAATTACAAACCATAAGATATCTTTAAAGGAGTGAGACTGGTCTGAAACACAAAGACTGTTTGCCAGAGCATTCTGGAGTGCTCTGACCAACAGGTCAAAGGTCAAAAGACACTGAGTTCGAAAAACAAGTTGATCTATGGACTCCTGAGGCGCGAAGAGACAAAACTTTGCCAGGATCCAAACAAGACATAAACGATGAACAAAAATAAAAAGGAAAACTATCCAGAGATCAGGGGAACCTCTTTATGATCAGGCCAAGATTTCCTTGTAATTTGAACAGTGTAATAAACCAAAGTCCAGCCTGCAGAGCTTTATTCCTGAAGCATCTGGAACAGATGAATACACAACAGGAGCAAACACTTTTATGACAAGACTACAGACCGCTCGTGTGTGTGTGTGTGTGTGTGTGTGTGTGTGTGTGTGTGTGTGTGTGTGTGTGTGTGTGTGTGTGTGTGTGTGTATGTGTGTTTTGGTAGTGTGATTGTCTCAGTTCCTAGGAAGCCCTCAGTGTTGGACCTTGGAGCCACACGCCCTGATATTAAGGCGTCACAAATTTTTGCGACGCCTTAATGTAAGAAGAACAGCTGCAGCGTTTACACACGCAAGAAGAATTATGAACAAGAAAAGTCAGAATTGCTCCCTACTTGGGTTTACTTCTGGAGAGCTGTCTAAATAGCCCTCACATGGCCACATTTGGTAAGTTACTTCCAACAATTACTGAACATTTTTACCTGTATTATGCGTATGACTTAAAGATACTGGATGTTGGTCAGGTCCCAGATCAGATCAGTCCCAACTGGTTTTACTGTTGCTGGGTGAGACAGAAAGTGGGAAGAGCTCAGCAGGAAACGCCATCCTCTCAGGAAGAGCCTTTAAAGGGAAAACCACCCGGAGCTGCAGGAGGAACGCCACCGTCTTAGGGTTCCAGGCAAATAACTCAGTTTACAGCCTTGCTCACTTCAATGGATAGTCGTAGACACTAACTTTGAGCTCCCTCCACCAGGTGGCAGTGGTTGACACCCCAGGGTGGATGCCCAACTCCACTACTCCACACAAGGCGTCTAAGGAGCTGAGGAGAGCTCTCGCCCTGTGCCACCCAGGACCCGACGCCATCCTGCTGGTGCTGTCCACCTCCTCAGGGTTCGGTCAGGACGGGTGGAGAGCCATGGAGGCTCACCTCAGACTGCTGGAAACACCCATCTGGAGTCGAGCTATCGTCCTGTTCACTCACGGGGACCAATTAGGTAAACAGCCTGTTGGATGAAAGTGGCATCACTGTCATAATCAGGAAAGGTTGAACAGCAAACGTTCAGCTGCCATGAAAAGAATCATCAGTCACAGGGATTAGTGTTGCAGTATAGGAGTGGACATTTATCGTATCATTTATTATATTAAATTTCTTTTTATCATGATCAGAATTTGTAATTATTGTCATGATAAATTATCATTTCATATTAATGATCTAACAAAAAAAATCAAACCTGGCAGTTATGTGAAATTTTTATTTTTAGTATTTTCACCTCCATTTGTTCCATGAGAGCGCCGATACATAACAGTTCATTCGAGAATAGAATTAAACACAGGTACAGTAGAAGTCATATATACAGTATCTCACTTCAAGAAAATGAAGACCTCCAGAAGTCTGTTGAAAATGGGAATGTTTTTCAAGAATTTGTGTTTGTTGTGCGATAAATGTACAATGTCGTCACAGCCATACAAAACCTAAGTTGAAGTAATAAATAGTTTATCATAATTCCCAATATCACCTCACAATATTGCAATAAAATTGGAATTTTTAATGATGCCCTCTCCTATAGCTTTATGAAGAAAGAATCAGTGGCATGTTTAAAATCATACCTCTGATTTTCATAAACTACCAAACACACCACTGACCCTCCATATGCAGGGATCTGTCTTGGCTAACTTCAGTACGCCTCATCAAACATGTGAGCTCATCATGACAACCTGGATGTGTTTCTCTTTAAACAACAAGAAGGCAATAATTTCCTGGCTCAAGGTGTCTTAAGCAACTATTATGTGAACCAGGGCTTCTTATGGGTACACAACCTCTGTTTACATGTAATTAATGGTTCTCAATGGGGATTCTGATACTTATCAGTTTGGTCGTCATAGAGAAAAACATAAGTTTAGGACAATGTTGTTCCCGGATCTGATTCTGCATTTTAGTTGTTGGCCATACTAACAGACAACGTCTGTCTCACAAGTCATAACAAGTCATTGCTTTTCTGATTGAGAAGTCAGAATTTCCCAGTTCTGAAAACATTCTGGAACGCAGCATGAGAGCTAACCTCTCAGGTAAAAGCGTCGACTAGAGACATCTGGAGGCCAACATTGAACTGACACCTGATCGCTACTTGAAGTCAACATTCATTGACGCACAGTCTAATAATGAGTAAAACTGGCTAAAAGTCAGTGTTTTTTTATATTTATTCCACTAGTCACTGAAATTCAAACAGACCAGAATAAATGTTTGAAGGTGAACTTTGGAGGAGTCCATTTCCTCCTTCTGAGGTTGTCTGGCTCAGGAGTGGCTTTACACAAGGATTGCGACAGCTGTTGCCCAGGTCCCGGATGCACGTTTGTGTGGTGACTCTTGAAACGATGATTCTTGATTGTGCTTTGCACAAATAAGGCACACTGCCTGTGGACAGCTTTAGCAATAATTTGATGTGCCTCATCCTCCTTGTCAATGGTGTCAGTGACTGTCTGCTGGATAACTGTCAAGTCAGCAGTCATTTCTGTGTCAAGCAAAGCTTTATTGTAATGTTTTATGGTATTTTATTTTTATGCACCACTGAGTTTTGAGGTTCCATTAGCTGTGAGCCATAAGCGCCAGTTTTCGATGACATTCTAATTTTCTGAGAAGCACTTGTACTTTTCCATGAGAGATGAGCCCATCTCTCATAGAAAAAGTCATAACAGTACAAGTAAGCATCCATATTTCCTCTTTGCACAAAGGAACAAAGAGTTTGTCACGTTCATTCCTTAGCGTTATCAGTTGAGGCTAACTTCATCTGTTGAAGGTCTGCATCCTACAGGACACCTGTCCATCCAGGAGTATATACAGCGACAGGGTGGGACTCTGCAGTGGCTGCTGGAGCGATGTGGACACCGGTACCAGGTTATGTCCAGCCAATCCAGTATGGCACAGATTCACATTGGACAGCTCATTTGGAAAATTCGGAAGATGGCAGAGGATTCAGAGCAGACCAGACAGACAGTGAGAACCCAGCCTGGAGCTCTGAACGTCCGGGTGGAGCAGCGATGGAACACGAGGCAGCAGATATGTGATAACCGTCCAGGACAAAGACAAGAGAGTGGCTCAGGAGCACAAAGAGGTAAGAACTGTTGTCTTTCAGGAACTGCTGAGATTTGTGTGAAAGAACCTGACTGTGGGTGTGTGTAAACTGCAGGCACAGACACTTTGAGGCCTGCACTCAGCCTCATCCTGCTGGGGAGGAGAAAATCAGGGAAAAGCTCCACAGGCAACATGATCCTGGGCAGAGAGGAGTTTCCGAGAGACAAAAAGACAGTTCAGTGTGATGCGGGGCACACAGAGATCTCAGGGTGGCCTGTTACAGTGGTGGACACCCCGGGGTGGAGTCTGTTTGGACAGGCTAAACCTACACAGGTGAAGAGAGAGATCCTGAAGAGTCCATCGTTCTGTCCTGCTGGGAGCAAAGTGATCTTCCTGCTGGCTGTTCCTGTGGACTCATTCTCAGAGAAGGACAGGAAGGCTGTGGAGACGCATGTCAGAGTGCTGGGGGACGGCGTGTGGGGGAGCTGTGTGGTGCTGTTCACCTATGGAGACGCACTGAAGGGAAAGACAATTGAGCATCACATAAAAAAGAAGGAAGAGTCTCTGCAGTGGGTGCTGGACATGTGTCACCAGCGGTATTATGTTTGTGATACGAACATGAGCGACCCCACACAAGTGGAACAGCTTCTTGAGATGGTATACAAATACAATTTTAAAACCTGATTTTTCTCCTGAATTAAAAATATTTATCTTATCTGGGTCCATGAAGACTCTTGTACTGACACAGTTCTTTTCAACAGTTTGTGAGTCACGTTGGTTTCTGCGGGGTTCCCCTACTGTCTTTAAAAGTTTGAAACATTGACATCTGCAGAAAAGATTTTAATTTTTCATAGGTTTGTTCCGATTATATCCTTGGCTGACTGGCAGGATAGTCGTGTGTATGTGTGATGAAATTAAAATAATCCAGATGAACTGGAAGGCCTTTTCTTTTGTAGTGCTAAGAATAAAGCCAAAACCTACATGTGAATGCCAAACAGTCTTGTTCAATAAATTGTGATATGATGTTTATTTAATATTGTAAATAATAAAGACGCAAAACCTTTTTTGGGTCTGGTTGGGGCAGATGGTGAAGAGTGACCATTGATGTTACTGGATTCTATATAAAATGTGGCTTTAAGCTGAGATACCGATGTTTGGATATGTAAATTATATATTTTCTCTGCAAATAAATCTATAGTTTGGTTTCTGTCAGTTCTAGAAACAAGTGAGAACAAAGCGAATTTCTCTTCATAATGGCCCATGATTTAATTTCATTTAATAGGAGCAATGATTTAAAATTTAACAAACTTTGGCTCTTTATGCTTTATGAAATATTTCATCCTATTTGATGATTGCTCAGAATATCGCCACGTTCTACGAACAAATGATGCAATTTGTCCAAAACTTGCTTTTCTTGCTAAGGTGGGAAAATTTCTTTTTACAATGACTTTCTATGTAAATCTTTTTTCTTTTTTTATGCAGTAGTGGGCTTTCTTCTTCACTTTCTCAGAAAAAGCAATGAACCTACAGCTCTACAAGAGCAGACCCAAATTCTCTAGCTATGCTCCACCTGTCCTCTAGAGGCCACTGTTACTAGATGTAATTGCTGCATGTTTCGGTCAGCAGAAGGAATTTCTCCTTTAAACCCCCCAAAAAACAAGGACACATTGCAAAACCACTGTGTTGTCGACTTTTATTTATATATATATGTATTTATATACTACTGCCACTGTTAAAAAGTGTGACTCATCACATCATCACTTGTAAGCATAAATAACTTTTTTTTCTCTCTTGAAACCTGGTAAATAAACCAACTGAAAACAGTTATGGGTCATTTTCAGCACCATTGAATAGTACATTCTCTATATTGCATCAAGATATAAAAATATACAGATCTAGTGTTTTTGTCTTCTTGAAAACATTCTTTCTGTGTTGTTCAATGGTATGAAACAAGAGAGGAAGAAAAGAGCCAATCCCCGTTGATGAGGATTGTTACCATTATTATTGTTTCCATGACCCCATCCTTACGAGAGCTTCACTGGACCGTCCATTCATTCACAGCACTTTGTAAAGCATCAGTAGCAGCCACACGTGGGGGAAACAAAAGAAATAAAAATACAAGTGAAACATTTAACGCTCATAGAGCCTCCGGCCCTCCCGGCCACCGTTAGCGACAAAGTGAAGAAGATGCTGATAGTTGTGGGAGTGCTGCAGTGCAGTGGGAGGGGAAAAGGGAGCGCTGTGGGAGAACCAAGCCGCTGTAACCCTAACCGTCTCTGTTCCAGTCGCTCTAAGAAAAGTTTATCCACATTTCAAAGTGGTGATAATGCTCATGGTGCTGTGCTAATATCCCCCCATGCCCTGAATGAAAAACAAACGTACTCAAAGGAAAAACAATGCAAGAAGTCAGGTTTAATCATCTGAGGCAAACGAGAAGATTAAGAAGAGTTGAAGGCGCAGTCAGGATGAGAGTTTGGTTTGCAGTGCATAGAGAGGGATTTCTGACATGGGTTCACCTGGTTGATTGGTGCATCGGGGTTATTGCCCTGTTTTTTGTTTTTTTGCTGCACACACACATACACACACAGTAAACACACGCCTGCAGTCAAGATGAGCATGACACAGCAGTAAGAACAGACACAGAGAACAGAGCTGGTGGATCGGGTTCTTGTGGAGTCCATGGTGTTCTCTCCAGCTGCAGCTTCTCGGCTGCTAGGTGGGGAGTCATCACATGTGTTTGTGAGGAACTAATGTCCAAATATAAATGTCCATCCATCTGTGCAACAGCCAAAGCGGATTCGTGTCCTTCGGGAGTCCTTACATTCGTGAGGACGTAGCCAGCTCGTAGAACAAGACGTAGGCGTCGCTGCTGCGCACTTGGCTGGACGACATTGGCGTTACTCTAAAAAGAAAGAGAGAGGTCAATGAGGTGTGAACTACCTGGTCTAGACACTGTGCATGCCAGTGTCTAACTTTGCCGTTGTTGCTCCAGGGGAAACACTGGGATTGTTTAGAGATGATAATAACAACCTTCCCCTCCACACAGTAAAAGCTCTCAGACTTGTCATGTGATCAGATCTCAGTTTCCTGGATATAAGCTCAAGCTGACGTTATCAGCAGGTCATTATCACGTCTGCTGATATTGTCCCTACTCAAATGCCTAAGCCAAGGTAATTATAGATAGTTAGACAAAAACGTGGGATATTCGTTTTCCTACCTAATCCTACTTTAAACTTCTCACTGACCTCTCTGCCAAGTTCCCTGATCTTCATGATGCTGTTAATTCACTATTAGTATCTAATATAGTTCACAAAATAGCTGGACTGGTTCTCAAACTGTGCTTTCACTCCTGTATGTGGGAATGGTAAACTACAACCTGACAAATCTCTTCCTGCGTTGGCGTTCGAACCCACCTGGAGTCATTAAAGGTGTACCATTCTCCCGAGCTGGGATTGCGACAATAGGCTGTGTAGTGACCTCCCATGGTTGTGCCCGAGTGGTTGGACACTGCATACAGGTTATATACTGCATTTGCTGTACAGAGGAGGATAAATAAGATAAAAGTGAGCTAAAAGGCTACTGACCACTACAAACTAATATGGTGTCATGTTTAATATTATGAAGAATGGAATGAAAGGGGAAAGAGCGTACTGCTGTTTTCAGAGGCAAACTCTCGAAGGTCGAGGTCCTTCATGGGGAAGTTAACAAAGGTGGACAGTTTGCTGGTTCGTCGTGCCTCAGAGAAGCGTTTCAGGTCTGCGGTGGAGGAAGAGTCAAGGAGCTGTTTGTTTTGAATACCTGCTTCAGAAGACTGAAATACGACACACTTTCTCTGTGTGATTAAACGGTCTACTGGGTTTTTGGTCTTCCTGCAGCAAAATGTACATGGCACAAGGAAAGGATACGCAGCACTAGAATCTTAGGGAACTTCTGTATTGTGAACTTCTTTGTGCACCTCCTCCTGGCTTTACATCTGTAGCATGTCTGCAGAGAGCAAGCAGAGGAAGTAGAGTCACTAGCTGCAAACAGCGGGAACAAGCAGCCACACAGGTGTTGGATCTAAAGGTGAGACGGAAACATAAACTAAGCTCTAAGTAAGTCATTTCACTTTATACATATATATGTAGCCACTCTCACAAAGTGTTTTACAAAATGCAAGACAGAAGAACACAAAAGACAAAACAGGAACGATGTGACATAAAATAAAATGAATAAAAAGCCAATCTGAATAAATGTGTCTTCAGTTGCTTTTTAAAAGTATTAAGAGAATCAAAGTTAGAGCATTCCACAGTGTGGGCCCACGGCCCTAAAGGCTTCATCCCCTCTGGTCTTAAAATGAGTGTGTGGGAACAATAAAAGCCTTTGACTGGAATTTATGAGGATTCTATCAGTTTTGCGCCATAGAAAAGGGAAACGAGCCTTTAAAATGTGCAGCATTCACCAAACTGAGCTAAAACAGGGTAAAAACTTTGAATGTGTGAAGCTAACACATCTGCTGATATCAAAAAATATTACAAGGCAAAAATACAGCAGGAGAAATTGCTTAGACAAGCTTTGGTGAGGAGGCTGGTTCCTAATGAAGGACATCATATGAACGACTTGGTGTCCGTCAATGCAGCATTTTAAACTCATATCTGAACACAACTGAAAACATCTTTATACTATTTTTGATAGTTATTCACTTTAAGAAAAGATATGGTAAAATTATTCAGCTGCCGCATAGAAAATGCCTCAGGAATGGTACAGCAGCACCCCCTGCTGCTCTTTGTTTGCCAGCAAAATTTGCTTATATTATTTGCTATTATTGTTGATTTTATTTGATCTAAAACACAAAATGTGCAAATTCTGTATTTTGTGTTTTCTGTGTCAATACGCTTCAGCTTGTGTTGACACATTATAGTTAATACTTGTGATTTTGTCCACCGGATGCTTAAAAAGTACAACGAATTTTCCAGGTGTCTTTAAACTCGTCAACTGAAGTATCACCAGATGCCCGTTCTTAAATGACTTGAATTATTTTCAGGGCAGAATATTTTGACTGTGATTTTTCTAATGTAGACATGGCAACTGGTTACATTTCTATTTCTGTCTGTTCAAAAATGTTCAAACAAATAAAAACAGTGTGCTATAAATTCCACTCTTCAGAAATACTTGTACAGAATATACACACACAACTTAAGACCAGGTCAGTCATCACAAGATTAGATGGACCAGCAGCCAGTCGTTGTTATGAATACCTACCGGCTTCTCGTCCCCATCGAGGACGTCCTCTTTGGTGAAGAGCCGCATGCAGTCCATCAGACTCACCTCGCCGTAGCCCTTCTGAGCACAAACACAGATGCATTCACATTAGCAAGCACCAAAACAAACGTAGAATAAAGCCCACAGAGCAAAGCACACAGAGAGACGGGAGAGAAACCAAAGAGTGTGTGTTAGGACTAGTAGATAGTAAAATCAGTCTCTGCACTACTTGATGTAGAAAATACTGTGTTTGCGTTGTCTAACCTTTGCGATAGGCAAAGAAAGATCCCAGAAAGGATCAAACACAGTGGAGCAGAAACCACAGTGGCTGCAGGTCAGGGAGCTCTTCAGCTGCCCCACAAACACATCTGGAATAGAAGAAAAGATGACAGCAAATAAATCTCTGAGGTCAGGATGAACAAACAGGTCCAGCTTGCCAGAGATCACCTGACACATCATCAAAAAACACAATAAATCCACTTTGTGACTCACCAACTATTTTACTATCCTCTCTTTCCAAATATTTACTCCACATCTTCTTCCCTTTTTCTTCATCTCTGTAAGTAGATAGGGTAAGAACTTATGAAAAATTGTTGATTTGTGAGGGGAGGATGTTGACAGAAACCTCATAAATGATAAACATGAAGAGATATTTTCTTTGAGGCCCCTGGATAATAAATTATGGATGCAACAAGATATCAACACATGTATTTATTCAAAACACAAGTCTTTTTCTGCCAGTTTGACTTTTTTGTCTTTTGGTGATGCTTTGGGCAGATTGTGGGAAATTTACGTCAGAGAAATTCTGAGGTCTGGCAGAAAGTCAGGCAGAGTGGACGGCAAGAATCTCACCAAAGGGGATAAACAAAGACGTTAAAGGCTTCATAGAGTTTAAATAAAGTAAATGCAGTCCAATGGATGCAGGAATCACGTTGGCAGTAATCAAAATCAGCTTTCATCTGTGATTGCTTTGTAGATACTGCGAAATCTGATTTTTCTCCTGGTCATTAAATGTTCTCCAATGCTCTTTGTGTTAGGAGTTCAGTACAAATCCAATAAAGGGCAGACACATGATTGGATGCATACATGCGGGTAACTTTGTAATCCCTTACTTTTCTTTGTTTTTCAAAAACTTCTACCTCAGAGAAGAACAGAGCAGCGTATGTATCCATATGTTTTTTATTCCATTTAATTGTGAAATTGAATCAAAATTGATTAATATGAACATCATAAACTCAAATAAAGCCAGAATCAGCCAATAAAACCCTGATGAGGTGCATCTGTAGCTGCTGCATAGATATGCACCTTAAGAAGTGCATATATGTACACTACTTAAACTTTCTGCTGATCTGATTAAAACTTTTATTATGAGCAAGTGGAAGTGTCACATCATGCTTATTAGTTTAACGTCAGCATTGCTTCACACCGTGTTCCAAATTATGATGCAGGTGATATTTTCTCAGATTTTCTTAAATGGTCAATGCAAATAAGGGTCAGTATAATTTTCAAGTTATAAACTATTATAGTATAAATCAAATTTTACTGAACAAAGCTCCCCATGAAAACAGTATTTTTTTCAAAAATAAAAAACTCAAAATGCATCGTTCCAAATTATTATGGACAGCAGATTTTCTAAAAATTTATGGACTACAAAGAACTGCAAACAGTCATTATTTGAATGTGCAGCATTAAGTACTTAAATCAAAAGCTATTTCACTCAAAAACATCTTAACAGACTGAGTTACATGTTGACATGGGAATCCTTTGATATCACCTGCACAATACTTGAATCCATTGAACTTGTGAGTTTGTGGATAGTTTCTGCTTGAATTTCCTTGCAGGATGTCAGAATACCTTCCCAGAGCTGCTGTTTTGATATGAACTGCATTCCACCCTCAGATCTTCTGCTTGAAGATACTCCAAAGATCCTCAATAGGGATGAGGTCAGAAGAGGATAAGTTTCTCCCCTTTCATGTCCATAGCAGCCAATGACAGTGGTATTCCTTTCAGCATGAGATGGTGTCATATGAGTCTACACTATCTGATGATTTTTGTCAGCAGAGATCCTTTCTCTTTCCCATATTGCTTGAAACCTGTGGCCTGCTTTATAATGTGGAACATCCTTCTTAAGTAGGTTTTCTTTAATTGAGCTCAGCAGACAAACTAATCAACCCAGGTCTCTGAAATCAATCGTAGTGAATCAATACACAATACCATCTATAAATTTAATAGCACTACAAAAATGTGTATCTTTATGACACTTAAATCCAATTTGCATAATAATTTAGAACACGGTGTAAAAGTGATGCTTTGTGTTCAGCTGAGACTCTGCTGACAGAAAAAACAAGTTTTGTTCTTTCAAACCTAAATGATGCAGAATCTAACAAGTGCACTGCCTGTGGAGAAACTGTTTTCCATAGTTAAACATGAACCCTCAGGTGCAAGATGAGGGTTGCACCTGACTCAATGCATAGTGTTGATTAGGTGAACACAGGGGACCTGACCTACTTTATCTCCAACATGTAGTTGACACAGTTCATTATCATGAGTGACATGAGGCTAATGAAGACTTTATGATTCATGTTATCTTCAGGAGCACCAGTGAGGCATTTTCATTGGCCAACTCCAATTTCCTATTTTATTTAAGTTTGACATGCTGATGCTGACTTTGTTCAGATTCTGAAGGTCTTTGTTAGAACTCTAAATATAGCGTATCATGTGAGGAAAATGCATCTTTCCTGTCATGTCGAAGTTGCTGTCGTCAGATAAAGCTACTCCAAACATTCAGCTTGCAGAGATGAATGACTTCATCAGCTCAGTGTGTCCACACAATCCAGCATGAAAATAAGTAACATTATCTGGTTACTGCTGTGAGATTTGAATAGGACTTGCACTATATGTGCACTACATTTGGTGCATGCCTACTGTAACTGGAGATCACAGGGTGTATGTTGCAGTATCAGATGATCAGATTTTACTATTCACGGAGTTTTCTGTGGATGTGACTCCAAATTATTCATGGACATTTTTTTCATAGAGCTCAACTAAAACATACCTAAAAAATTAAACTTGGAAAGCTGAAATAAGACACATCATTGGTTTGCAAAACAACCAATTCCGAACCACAATTTATTTTCCTTGCCGCAGAGAACAGAGATAAGGAAGGCTGTGGATGTTAGCTTCTGTGATAGTGCCAAGAAATTGGGTCTTTACCCAAACAGGGTACGAGTATTTCAGTTTAGGGACTTGCCGATACTTTAAAACCGAGTCCTCATAAAGTGGTCTTGGTTTCGACTTTCAGGTTGCTCTCAAAGCTGGTATTGGTCCACCACCATCAAAGAGTGTTTCTAATGTACATATTTATGCATATTAAGGTATATTTGGTATTTGAACTATTAAAATAGACAGTAATAAGCTTTCTGTTTTTGGGTCTCAAGTATTTGAGGTGGCTGTGGTCCCTAACCCTCACAAACCCTGGTAGTCCACTGAATCTAAACATTTGTTCCTGAGGTTCTTTGTATTAAGTTTAAATGGGAGTTTTCAGCTTTGATGCATAATGAACAGAGGAACAGAATCAGAATTTTCACTATTTGTTCTCTCAGTTGTTGCTAGAAGCTGTTAAAAGAAAAATAGCTGATTTTGATCACTTGCTGACTGGTCCTTCATTAATTTTGCACTTAAGCTTGTCTTTTTACTTACGGCAGGTGGTCAAAGTCCTCCACGGTGCCCCTCGGCCTCACAGTGACCCTGTTGACTTCGTTGTGCAGGCCGTCCAGCAGGAAGCGCAGGAACTCCTGAGCATCCTGTTGGCTGCAGCACACCAGCAACAATCTCTGTTACATACATTTCCTTTCTCATTTAGAAACCTGCAGAAATTCCTCAGTACGGTCCTGCATGTCTATCAATACAGCACAAAAACAAGTATTATAAAGAAATGCAACATACTTGTATCCTACAAATCTGGGAGCATATCTCTGGATCTGTGTTTTGAATTCAGACGGGCTGACCGCTTCGCTGCTGGTCGACGTCCACATGATCTGGATCAGCTTAGCGAATTCTACCAACACACAAATACTGAAGTTAGTCACATGACAGAAAGAAAACATCCAAACACTGATAACTAATATTGCCCTTTTTTAACTTTAGCACACCATCACAAAGACATTTTACCTCTTTGCTCAAAAAGAATCTACTTACATGCAGATCTAATGCAGAGCAAAACAACAGCTGTGTGTGAGGAGTGTTCGTTCTGGACTCTAGGGGGCCTGTGTGACTCATGTCTCACCTTCCATGAGAGCTGTGTTGGTGCGGCTGTTGTTGTTAAGGTCTCTGCGGTGCGAGTTGTGCAGGCAGTAGTCACGCAGGCTCTGTGTGTTGCTCAGACACTGCAGGATACTGTTCATGAAACACTGTGGGGAAAACGGCAACATAAAACAGAAGATCACTTTTTATATCAGCATCGTTTAATTTTACAGATTTTGTCACATTGTAAAATTTTTCTGGAAAACAGCCCTGAACTGTTTAGCTCCCTCAGCTCCCATCGTGTATAAAGACCTATCACATACATGGCAGCCTTACGAGAGTGTAAACAGCTCCCATCATGTGCCTACATAGGTCACGTGTGATTTGGTGAGGACAAACCAGCAAGAGAGGCAGCAAAAGACCAGAACATCTGATTGAGTTACAGAACACACTCTCCATTTATTTCAGGAGTTCTCTGTCTGTCCTGGCAGAAAGCGTGCCGACCCACCAAACGGCTCTCAGAATTTATGCAAGCAGGATTTTAGGACAACCCCAGTGAATCAGATAAGAAAGGCACAAGATAAAAAACATCATATCTCCCTGTCAAAGAGAAATCTGTCTCGTGAAGCACTATCTAGTTGCTGCCAGCATGTGACGTTGCCTGGAAAATGAAGTGTAAACTGCTATTATGAGCCCTGTTATTATGTGCTTTATGCTTAACACCCTGTTGAGACTTTTATTTTGAAATAAGAAATTAAGTAGTTTTTGAGTTGCTCTGTTGTGTTGACAGAGGCTGGAGGTTTACTTACGGTATTTCCTAAGTTCTTCAATCCAACCAGGCCTTGGGCACTCTTTGAGTTCTGGAAAAAAAAAAACACAGAAGAAAAATAACATTTTTAGATAACAAATATGAGCATCTCTACCAGATGGGTTATGTGCTCTTTATGAATCTGGACTCTACAAGGGATAAAGTAATGTTCCTTCTGCAAATATATGGCATTTAAAGGAATTTCAGATGTTGCCACAAAGATCCTGCTGGGTTGATTTAGTTTGAGACAAAAAAAAGCCATAAATCTGCCCACTGCAGGTGAGTGAGTGCATGCTGTTGCTCTGGAACTGACAGACAGGTGAACCTTCCTGCTGAGCATTATTCTGGCACTAGAAAGTGTTTTTTTATATCTCACAATTCCACTTGCTCTCTTGGTGCAGGCTACCAGATGGCAGAGATCTGATCAACAACAGAGGGTGCCATGGAAACGCTGTAGTTTAAGGGGTTTTTTTATTTTTCAACACTTGCTTTCCCCATAGCAACAAAACTCAAAGCACAGCGCAACACGTGAAAATTTCATAAAATCAACAAATGGCCTGAAATGCTTTAGAGAACTTATGTCATCAGTGCAGTTACATTTCATTACATAAGTTGAGTTGTTATGTAATTGAGCAGCTAAAGAAGAGCTAATAAAGACAGAGGGGTGGATAAGAAATGCCATGGTGTGCTTGACAACAAAGCACAAAATATCAGATGACTCAACCTGAATTCATTTTTCACCAATGTTTGTGGAGGTCTCACTGTTTCTGTTTTAATACCTGTGACAATATGTAACATTACCTGCACCACCCCTCATTTCATGCATAAAAAGAAGCTAGCTAAGAGTGAAGACATGAAGTTGGCACGATGTTCAGTTATTCTTGTATTTTCTGGGCTTGGAAGCAACTGTGTAGAGCTGGCAGCCTCACACCGGTCACCTGATCTCGCCCACGGCTGAAATCTATCTCACTCACATGCTTCTTATTTCCCGCGTCTGTGGTGTAGCTCTCTCAGAGTACCATGCAACAGGACCACCATGAAAATGGGCCAAATCCAAGGTGAGGCCACACAAGACGTCTGGTCATGTCACTGTAAACTGAGCGTGAGAGCTTCCAGGGTTTTTAGAGCATCAACTCTGACGAAGTGACACATAACTGTATGTACAACAGCTGGTTATCTTATTATGGGAACAAAAAGAGACCAGAAAGTGCAATTTTTTTAACACAAAGGTGAGCTGAAGTGCTCAGACGTGAAACAATGTGACCTGAGAAACAGAGTCTGAGACTCCCCACAGAATCGCAGGCAAACATGACAAACCACTGTTCAGACTTGGTGACCTTGTTGACGTGGGGGAGTTGTCGCATGAGACGACCAGTTGTAAAACTATCAGCACTAACACGCTTTCTGGATATCACATCTGATAAATGAGTGCTGGGTTCACCCACATGTTACAAGTTTTAAACACCAAACATTCAGGGTTAGGATTAGTTGGTACCAGATTCGAATCTAAAGCTAACTTCTCTTTAAAATCACTTTTGATACCGAAAATGTACTATTTTATCCGTTTTCCCAGTTTTATCGGGTGATTATTTACAGAGAAGCCAATCACTGTAAAAAGCTACAATTTTAAAGAAGCTTAAGGCCTTGCACATGCGTACCTGTCTTTATAAAAGCAAACATCTCTGCCATGTTGTTTTGAAAAAATCATTTCGAACACACCGGATGATTTTCAGAAAAGTTTTTATTCAGATAATCTCGCCCACATATGCCTCTGAGTGTTGTTTTGAACATGCCAAACGCAAAGAGGGCAGTGTTGCACAAAGCTAACACCCGATGTCAGCCGATCAGATTGCTTCAAAACAACCATGAGTTCCTGTTAGGTATTAAACTTGGAGGTTCATTAATGTGGGCAGAGATATAAGTTCAATGACTTTTAAAAAAGAGTTTTAGAATATAAAGGTAATAAAACCTACAACTGTTGATTGGATATCATGTCAAAGCATGTATGTGGATCCATTGTCTCGGATTATTTGTCGCAGACTGCAATGCAGGGGACCCCAACTCTCTATACACACAAACACAAATAGTTTTTTTTAATTGTCACTGGCTGGAGTCTTATAATTAATAGTTTTTAGTGATAATAAGCAGAATTTTTAGGTGGATGAAATTCCAAAATGCATAAAAATGTATATGTTTTCCAAGGTATACGAGTGGGTATGGAGTATGCCTAAGTACCATACATAAATATTGATAGTCAGTGTTTCATTGAAAAAAACTAAACAACACATAATTTGTTTTATTTTATATGATCTCAGTTAGATGTAGGCAGCAAAGTTCATAAAGTGGTTCTATATTTTTGTAACTTCAAACAAAACAGAGCTACGTTGAAAATTACAGAGCAGCTGATCAGAGAAGTTTGAGACACCATAATTTACATCTAATCTATTGTTAGCAGTAAGGGATTGAGAGCTTCTTCAACGATCATTTATTTATTTCTTTGGAGGGGACACTGGATCAAAGTGAGCGCCCTCCCTTTAAAGCGATCTGCCACTGAGCTCGAGGACGTCCACATGATTGCAAGCGTGTTCATTGGGTTTACCCATACTGTGAGCCTGCAGCTCATCTAGTTATAACAACTGCAACAAAAAGAGCTTTTTACTCTTACATAAATAACCTCCTGCCATCTGTCTCTTGCAGAGGAGCAGTGCAGAATTGATGTGGAGGAGGAAAAAAAAAAAATTCCACCGTTTAATTAACTACAGCTTATCTAAATCCTCCTTTCTGTTTATTTCCTGCAGTAAGGCGAACAGATTATTAGCTCTGGCGGAGAAAAGTGAACACAGAAGCGAACACATCATCTCCATCACAGGCTGACTGATAAACATCTCTGCTACGAGTTTGTTTTTTGTCCACACACACCAAGCCCTACCACTGGAGTGAGCGCGTCTCCAATCTGCTGCATTCTGCTGAGTGACGCCACAGTTGGCCCCCGAAATAGCAGCTCGGATTTTAGTAATTGTGTTTGTCCACACCCAGTTGGCTGATTATTCAGTAGGACGTCAGGACGGTAACGCAAGCATCTCTGTCTCCGTGGCAACGCCCCTTTTTTGAAACATTTCTCCAAAATTTGTGGGAGAGAAAGCTAACGGAGACTATGACATCACAGCAAAATGTGTGACTCAGAAAATGTGTGTGTGATAACAAGAGTTCAGAGTAGGTGGAAGTGTCAGCGAGCAAATGGGAGCAGATATGATGCGGAATGAAATCAGAGAGAGGCTGATCACAGAAATCTGAAATAATGTGATTATAAAATAGACAACTGATGGCATTACTACTTTGATAACACTCTTTAATTAATGTCAGAAGAACATTTCTATGTCTAGTCGTGAAACTCTGCCTGGTAATGAAAGTTACCTGTATCTTACTTTACGTTTCATCCTGTGTCGAACTGACAGACTGTAACATGGGATTACAGCCCTTAGTTATTAAATCTTTCTTTATTGAGCAGTGTGTCTCTGTGTGTGTGATGATTCAGGAATACCTGGCTGCTGCTATGATTCCAGCTTGCGGCATAGCAACAAAGAAGGATAAATATATTATCATAATTCTACTCTCTTTTGCCATACTCAATAGGATTCTGGGTATAGATTTAAAACCAAGCACATGTGAATTTGTTTTGTTTTCTTGAACTTGATTTAGTTAAAACCACATTAGGCAAGGGCAATATGGACTTGGAATTTTTATCACAATAACAAAAGGATGGTAATGTATTAGCTCTTTTTTAGGTCACTGTATGGTTGTAAATGCATGTGAGCATTTGTAACACCACAAACTATAGGAAAATATTCCCATTTAAAATATCCTTCCTCATAATGACAGTTACTTAAGAAAATGTTATTTACATAACTGAGCTGCACACAGTTACTGCATTTCATATTATTTTAAAATTTAACAGATATTTATTGATGTTCCTGTGGAACAAACAGTGGAAAAAATAGTAAAAAAAAAAAAATTCCAATAACAGTATCAGTCTTTTTTAGCATCAGTAATTGAAATTTATCAACACAACGTAAAATCAAAATTCTTATTGTGATAACAAATTATTCATAATAAGATTTTATGTACAATAAATGCCCAACACTTGAGAAAATGAAAAGATTTCCTGATTATTGTAGTTGTAATAGAGAACTGGTTATAATGAGTATCAACAGACCAAATATTACCAGAGATCAGTACCTCTCTTGAGTAAACACATAGAAAGGGCAGGACACAGTTTACAACATGTAAGTTTTAATCTTCCTGGGTGGATAATACATTTTGCACACAAAAGAGAATAACTATGCTCTTTTCATAAATGTCAGAAGCCGCTCAGGCAGCCAGCGTGTTATTTTTGAAAGGCTGTTCCATGGAGGCTGAAACGCATCACAAAAAAAAAAAAAAAAAAAAAAGCTGCATTAAAGTCAAGCTGGGCTGCTCTCTCTGAAGCCGGGAATAAGAGACAGAGGAAATGTCCCTCTGGCGGACAGCCAGGTCAACAGAGGTTAAAATCTGGCCATCCACTGTGCTTCAGTGAAACTCAAAGTGTGGGACTGGTGGTAGTGCAGGAGAGGAAGTAAAGGGTCAAAGCAAGGTGAGGAGAAAAGAAGGGATGGATAATCTTTGATGGTGGCTTGGCTTTTTGGCTGGACTTCACAGAAAATCAGAGGAAGTCAACATCAGTAACAAAAAAAGACTTAAGGTTGGAGATTTCTCTCTGACCACTCAGAGAACTTCATCACTCACCATCAAGTGTGTTAATACTGAGTATAATCTGAGGAATTCAGCATGAAAATAACTGACATATATTCAGTAAGCTTCAGTAATCAGCTGATATTGATGTAAATGTGGAAACTAAAGGTTATGAAACTCTCTTGGTTCTAAAGTAACTTTGCTAATAATGACTGGGTGTTTTGACCTATATGCTACAATCTTAAGCTAACATTTTTTTTCTGCTTATTAATATAAAGATGACAGAGTGCCTCAGCTGGACTGCAACTGCTTCCTGGCAATCTG